AGAGGGCAAGACTCGGCGCGAGGTGGCGTGGTAAAACTGCCAACCAGACGCGTCCGGGACAAAGCCGAGGAAGACGCAGGGAACAACACGGGAGGAGAGCTTGTCCGCAGATGAATCGCGGACAAAAGCTCGAGACCCCCAGACCCGGAAACGCGACGCATCGCCAACCTCCCCTGTCCACAACAGCGTGGGCGAGGTCTCCGGCAAGGAGACACGGGGCCAGAGGTTGAGCTGATGCGCAGCGTACTGGACCGCAAACGGCCACAGAAAGTGGGGGGCAGCCGCATGGATCAAGGAGGTACGGGCGACCTCCATGACCAGGCCAATGCGGCGCTCCGCAACCCCATTCTGCTGTGGAGAGGCCGGAAGCGTGAACGACTGCTCAATGCCGTGCTCAGCACAGTAGGCTGCCAAGAGGTCGGAGGAGAACTCACCACCTCTGTCAGAGTGCAAGCGCAGGACAGGAAAGTCCGAGTGAAAACGCTCGCTGAGCTGGAGACGGGCTCTGCGGATCCAAGGGATCAAGACATCAGGGACCTCACCCTTGGTGCGCAAGGGGAAGACCGAGGTGTAGCGTGAGTAGTCGTCAACAACTATCAGGAAGTACCTCTCCTGACCCTGACCATGGACGCGGGCTGGGCCCCACACGTCCATGTGGAGTGTGTGCAAGGGAGCAGTCGTCGGGGGAAACGAGGAGGAGTGAGGAGCGGCGCGCTGCCGTCCCTCGACACAGGGGAGACAGGTAGGAGCAGGTGAGGGTGGGAGGGGAGGAAGGACCCTGGGCAGGCCAGAGACAAGGTACCGGGAGTGCATGGCACAAAGCCGCTGCACAGACGGGTGGCCAAGGCGGTGGTGCCAGAGGACAGTCTCGTGTGCCAAAGAGCGACACGAGCAGGGGGCGGACAGCTGACCTAACGCGGACGCAGACGCAGTCGCAGCAACCTGAGGGGACTTAGTAGTCAGTGTGTACAGGTCCGACCCCGGCTGCCGAGTGAAGGTAGCCAAGTGACGGCCCGTACGAGCACACGTGCAGTGTGTCACGCGCTCGTAGGCAGGGGTGAACTGGTGAACACCCCCGTCCTGGAGTGCACATCCTGCCACCAAGTTCGTAGAGAACGAGGGGAGGTGGAGACCTGACAGTGTGCCCGACGGGACCGCAGGACAGGGAAGGACAGTGGAAGAGGTCGCAATGACCGGACCCCCAGAGGGGTCAGCAAGGGAGACAGCAACTGGCCGAGCAAGCGGCTCAAGGGCAGTGCGGTCACGAAAGAAGCAGCGAGAAGCACCTGAGTCCAGTGTGAAGGTGTGCAGTGCGGCAGTCGACGCAGTACCAAGGGGGGGAGACACACGAGCACCTAGAGCAGCAGCCTCACCAGCACCTGGGGTAGCCGACACGCGAGTACCTGGAGCGGCAGACGCACTGGCCCTAATGCCCGGGTCGGGCGGCACACACAAGTACTCAGCACCCTCTCCACTAGTAGACATCACATACATGGCAGATAGAATAGCATCAAAGTCTAGAGCATAGATATCAATCCCCTTCTTCAGGAGATCAAGCCAGCGGGGCAGCTCAGTGGCCTGAGGGAACTGAACACGCCAAGCGTCGTCGAGACGAGAGAAGCAGCGCTGTGTGGCGTGCGGTCGTCCACACTGCTGACCAGTGCGGTCACCAGTGCGAATGACGTACGTGCAGCTTAGACCACCCCCACCCCCGTGCTGAGAGTACCACTCACGGACCTCCTGGGGCGAGGGAGTGTGCTGCTGGCCCTGGCCACCGCCAGTGCCTCCACGGCCACCACCACCGCTGCTACCTCCTCGACCACCCCAACCCCTGCCGCCGCCTCTTCCACCGCCACCCCAACCGCCGCCTCCACTCCTGCCACCTCCCCCGCCGCTGCCGCCACCACCCCCACCGCTACCACTCGCCCCTCCAGCCGAGCCACCACCCCCACTGCCTCCACCGCCCCCACCGCCGCCTCCCCCGCCGTCACCGCCACTACCCTTGCCCCCTTTGCCCTTGCCGCTGCGGCGTCCGCTCGAGGCAGACGCAGCGCCAACCTTCTCAGTACCAAGAAGGTCGACAGCAGCAGCAGAGGCGACAGAGGGAAGAAGGGGGGAAGGAGAACACCCCTTAAAGAACGGGGTACGGGGGTCGCCACGAGAGGCACCTACAGCGACTATGCTAGTCTCAGCTGCAAGCAGCTCCTTCTCGAGGAGGGCAATGGTGAGCTCAGTGGGGCAACGAGCTAGGAAGTGGTCCCTGACAGCACGCAGTGTGTCAGGGAGGCGGGTGACTAGGTGGTAGAGAGTGAGCCAGAGTGGAGGGGGGTGCGTGGCAAGGAACTCAGTAGGAATGGCGGCACGGAAGCGGGCCTCACTAGTACGGAGGTGCGTGATGAGGTCAGCGACTGTGTGAAAGGAGGCCAGGTCGGGAAACAGGTAGGGGAGGGAGAGACGGCCTAGTGCGGCGGAGGCAGGTGAGGAGTAGCGAGCAACTACAGCTGTGTACAGTGCCTGTGCAGTCTTGTGCTGACCAAAGTGCTCGCGTTCGTCTATCGGCAGGGAGTTGCGAATGGCGAAGCAAGCGTGGGCATCACGAGTCTGCCACTGTGAGCGAGCAGTGCTGTCAGCAGTAGCAGCAGGGGCAGTGACATGGCCTAGGGCGTGATCGTACAGTGAGATGTCATCCTTGGCTGTGAGCTGTAGGTAGAGGTGCAGGTCATCGAGCCAGGTGTCAAACTTCACAGGGCGGCCCTCAGCATCGAACACGAGAACCTGTGGGCTAGCCATAGGAACAGTAGAAATAGCAGCAGTAGCAGTAGGAGAAGCAGGTAGGACGAACCAGGTAGGGCAGGGCGGCGCGGCTCGGTTCAGGTCGGGTCGCGGCTCGGCTGGGTGGCGCGGCTCGGTTCAGGGCGCGCGGCTCGGCTCGGGGCGCGCGGCTCGACTCGGGGCGCGCGGCTCGGGGCACGGCGGGGACGGGCCGCCCGCTCTCCCTCGTGTGCTGCGGCGGGAACGGGCCGCCCGGGGCCTCTAGGTGGTGGGCACGGGTCGGCGAGGTCGGCACGGGGCCGGTTGGGGCCCTAGAGGGGCGAGCGCGGGGCCGATCGGGGCCTGAGCGGGGCTAGCGCGGGGCCAAACGGGGCCTTGACGGGGCTAGCAAGGGGCCGACGGGGCCTGAACGGGGCTAGCGCGGGGCTGACGGGGCCTGAAACGGGGCCGACGGGGCCTGAAACGGGGCTAGCGCGGGCCCGATCGGGGCCTGAATGGGGCTAGCGCGGGGCCGACGGGGCCTGAGAGGGGCTAGCACGGGGCCGACGGGGCCTGAAACGGGGCTAGCGCGGGCCGACGGGGCCTGAGAGGGGCTAGCGCGGGCCGACGGGGCCTGAGAGGGGCTAGCGCGAGGCCGACGGGGCCTAAAACGGGGCTAGCGCAGGCTGACGGGGCCTGAGAGGGGCTAGCGCGGGGCCGAAAGGGCCTGAAACGGGGCCGACGGGGCCTGAACGGGGCTAGCACGGGGCCTGAACGGGGCCTTAAAGGGGCCGGCGGGGCCTGAACGGGGTCGCTAGGGAGAGCGGGCGTGGGGCCGACGGGGCCTGAACGGGGCTAGCACGGGGCCGTCAAGAGGGGCCTCTAGGGGCGTGACACGCCGAGGCGCCCTAGGGCACAGGTAGGTAGGTAGGTAGTTACGTAGTGGTGGGCCCTTAGAAAATTTCGGTCCTTGGAAGGACCTGCTCTATACCATGTTGGAATCACTGAACAGGAATGAAATGAACTAGCAGTGAAATGAGTACAAGTACCTAACCCTAGAATTGTGTACCCCCTATAGGCTAACCCACTGTAGCCTAAACTAACACAACATATATAATGTTTGACACCGCCGCCCACCGAGCGCCGGCCCTGCTCGCCCGGTGAGCGCCTGCCCTTCCTGCCCCTGGTGAGCACCTGCCCTACCCACGCTTCCCGCACGCCTGCCTTACTAGCGCAATGCCGCGCTAGCCTGCCTGCTGCGCCTGCCTGCCAGTCGAGCCGCGCCGCCCAGCTGAGCCGCGCCGCTGAGCCGCCCAGCCGAGCCGCCCAGCCGAGCCGCGTCATGCTGTCAGGCTGTGCATCCCTGCTCTCCTGAGCCGCGCTGCCCTGCCCGCGCTGCTACTGCTGCTATGACTGCTACTGCTGCTACTGGCGGTGGCCAGATGCAGCTCCAGCGACGTCCGCGCGAGTCTCTCACGCCCCAGCAGCTTCGTGAGTGGTACGCTAGTTGGGGTTGTGGCGGTGGCCGTCGTGGCTGTCGCCCTGGAGCTGGAGCTGAAGCGTCTGGCGGTGGCCAGATGCAGCTGCAGTGGCGTCAGCACGAGTCTCTCACGCCCCAGCAGCTTCGTGAGTGGTACGCTAGTTGGGGTTGTGGCGGTGGCCGTCGTGGCTGTCGCCCTGGAGCTGGTCAGTCGGGAGCGTCTGGCGGTGGCTAGATGCAGCTGCAGTGGCGTCCGCGCGAGACTCTTACGCCCCAGCAGCTTTGTGAGTGTTACGCCCAGAGTAGAGGGTCACGGAGTACTGCTCGCTGCCCGTACGTCATTCGCACAGGTGCTCGGGCTGGTCAGCCTTGCGGGACGGTTGGTCACACAGAGTCCCGCTGCTTCTCCTATCTGAGCGACGCCTGGCGTACATGTATAGAGTCCGCTACTCTAGGTGCTGGTGAGGCTGCTGCTCTAGGTGCTGTTAGAATAGATTTATATATATTTAGTTTAATCTGCCTGTAGTGTAGTTGTTGTGTAATTCCCTTGTATGGTGGTGCACCTCTTTCCTATTTGTTAGGTTGTTATATGTACTCGTGTGCTATAGTGAACCTTCACCCATTCTCAATTCTCACTTGGCACAACTCATTCGACACCAGCTTGGCCTAGGCTTCTAAGCCTAGGCCCTCCTTAAACCCGGTTACCAGTTAAGACACTATCATAACATGGTATCAGAGCAGTTCTTTCTTAAGGACCAAAATGATTTCCATGGGCCCACCAATTTTGCCATCTGCCATGGCGACCTATCATGCTGCTGGCGCGTTTGCTACTGCTAGTAGCGTGGAACGTGGAGCTGCTGGCGCGAAATCCGCTGCTGGCGCAATTTCTGCTGCTTACGCTGCACCCGTCGCGCTGCCCCCTGTCGCTCCGCCCATCGCCCAGCCCGTCGGGTCGCTTCGTCGCGGCTCACTGGCGCGGCCCCTTCTCGTCACCCCCTGTCGGGGCTGTTCCCGTGTGCAGCGACAGCCGCTGTGGGGGCGGAGAGGTACGGGGGAAGGGCGTTGCGGGACCGCCAGCTGCGCCTACCAGCGCCAACGCCAGCGACACCCGAGACCGCCAGTGACAGCGCCAACAACGCTCCCCGCTTGCAGCGCGTTCGCGAAAACCTGTACGCACTCCGCTGCCCGTCGCCAGGTCCCCGCCCGCCCTTCCGTCGACTTCGCAATTGCTGTAAAGGGAGTGGCGGGAGTTGCGAGAGTGGTGGGAAAGGCGGGAGAAGCTGTTGCTATGCCATTGCACGCACCAGATCGTCCGCGACCCGCACCCCGCCCGTCGCCCTTATGCCACCCGCACCCTGCACCCTGCCCGCCGCCCGTGCGCCACCCGCACCCCGCACCCCGCCCGTCGCCCGTACACCATCAGCACCATGCACGACGTCCGTGCCCTAGTCCGCGAGGCCCGTCCGCACCTCGTACCTGCACCCAGACCGCCGTTCTGCCCCAAATCCCGCCCCCCCCCCCCCCCCCACCGACAACTGCCACCCCACCCCCATCTCCGGCTCCGTTTCCAGCGGGAAGGGGAGGAGGTGCGGTGTTGGCCCGAAGGGGACGGCCGGGGGAGGGGGAGTGGCGGGGTTGGCGGCTCATGTGCTGCCCCGTTCTGCCCGTGTGCTGCCCCGTTCAGCCCTTGTGCTGCCTCGTTCTGCATGTGCTGCCCCGTTGTCCTCGTGTTGCCCCGTTCTGCCCGTGTTGCCCCGTTCTGCCCGTGTTGCCCCGTTCAGCCCATGTCCTGCCCCGTTCAGGCCGTGTCCTGCCCCGTTCTGCCCGTGTTGCCTCGTTCAGCCCGTGTCCTGCCCCGTTCTGCCCGTGTTGGCCTGTTCTGCCCGTGCTGCCCCGTTCTGCCCGTTTGTGTCCTACCCTTGCTGTCCTTACCCGTTGGTGCCCCACCCGTGCTGTCATTTCTCGCTCGTGCCCCACCCGGTCTGTGCTGCCCAGTCTCGTGCTGCCCGTCACCCCCGTGCGGCCCGTCCCGTACAGCACCTAGTTGCTACCCGAACCCGCTACCCGTACCCGTGCTCCTCGCACACCGTGCACTAACTGCGGAGCGTTCAACCGCAGCCGAGAACATGTTCCACCGTGGTGGTTCAGATGCTGCTTGGTGGTTGCTGCTTGTCAGCTTCAGAGGGGGCCCCTTGCTGGTGTTCCCACGCCCTGTAATGGGGTTTTACAGCTGTACCCCTTCAAGGGGGGCTCTGCACATGGTTATGCACTTCAGGCAAATAAGGGGTGTGTCACAATAGATCTATATCTATTTAGTATAATCTGCCTGTAGTGAAGCTGCTGTGTAACTCCCTTGTATGGTGTTGCACCTGTTTCACCTTTGTTAGGTTGCTATATGTACTCGTGTGCTATAGTGAACCTTCACCCATTCTCAATTCTCACTTGGCACAACTCATTCCACACCCGCTTGGCCTAGGCATCTAAGCATAGGCCCTCCTTAAACCCGGTTACCAGTTAAGACACTATCGTAACAGATGCTGGTCCGTCTCCTACTCCAGGTGCCGGTGAGGCTGCTGCTCTAGGCGCTAGTGAGTCCACTGCTCCAGGTGCTGGTGAGTCTGCCCTCTCTGGTACTGCGCCAGCTACGGCCTTGCACACTTTCACCCTTGACTCGGGTGCTTCCCGTTCCTTCTTTCGCGACTGCACCACACTCTCGCCGCACAGTCGGACGGTGGTAGTCTCTCTGGCTGACCCCTCTGGGGGTCCGGTCCTTGCATACTCCTCCACGGTTCTGCCGTGTCCGATGGTCCTGTCTGGCTCTCTGTGTGGCCTCCACCTCCCCTCGTTCTCCACGAACTTGGTGAGTGGAGCTGACCTTCAAGAAGCGTGGGTTGACCAGTTCACTCCTGGAGGTCAGCGGGTGATCCACTGTTCGTGTACTCGGACGGGTCGGCACCTGGCCACATTCACCCGTCAGCCTGGGTTGAGCCTGTACACCCTGACTACCGTGTCTCCTCCTGTCGCTGAGTCTAGTCAGTAGCCGCGTCTGGTTAGGTGTTTGCTGCAGCGTCTCGGTCTGGTGCTGAGTCTGCCCCCTGCTCGTGTCGCCTCCTGTCTCACCAGACTCTCCTCTCGCACCACCGCCTTGGTCACCCCTCCCTGCCTTGTCTCCAAGGCATGGCCTCTCGTGTCCTTGTCACTGGTCTTCCCCGGTCTCTCCCTCCCCTTCCCCAGGGGCCTGCCCCTACCTGCGTTCCCTACGTCGAGGGGCGGCAGCGCGCCGCTCCTCACTCCTCCGAGTTCCCTCCGATGGAGGCTCCCCTGCAGACTCTTCACATGGACGTGTGGGGCCCCGCCCGTGTCCGTGGACAGGGTCACGAGCGCTACTTTCTGCTGATCGTTGACGACTACTCGCGTTACACACCACAGTCTTCCCCTTAAGCTGCAAGGGTGAGGTCACAAAGGTGCTGATCAACAAGATCCGCGCTGCTCGTCGTCAGCTCAGCGAGAGTTTCGGCTCGGACCTTCCTGTTCTGCATCTCCACTCCGACAGAGGTGGAGAGTTTTCCTCCGACCTTCTGCGAGCCTTCTGTCGTGCGGAGGGCATCCGCCAGACGTTCACGCTTCCGGCCTCTCCGCAGCAAAATGGGATTGGTGAGCGCCGCATTGGCATGGTCATGGACGTCGCTCGTACGTCCATGATCCATGCGGCTGCTCTCCATTTTCTGTGGCCATTCGCGGTTCAGTACGCTGCGCATCAGCTCAACCTCAAGCCCCGGGTCTCCATGCCGGAGACCACACCTACTCTGCGGTGGACGGGGAAGGTTAGCGATGCGTCTTCGCTCCGTATCTTGGGATCTCGAGCTTTCGTCCGTGACTTGTCTGCGGACAAGCTGTCCTCCCGTGCTGTTCCCTGCGTCTTCCTTGGCTTCCCCCCTGACGCGTCTGGTTGGCAGTTTTACCACCCCACCTCGCGCCGTGTTCTGTCATCTCAGGACGTCACGTTTGACGAGTCGGTTCCTTACTACCGTCTCTTCCCCTACCGCACTGGCCCCCTCCCCCCCCCGCCGCTCTTGCTCGCACCAGGTCCCCCCCGGATAGACCCCCTCCCCCCTCAGGGTCCTGCCCCCTCTGGTGTGTCCTAGCTAGACGCAGCCGAGCCGGTCGAGGTAGCTGTTGACTCTAGCGCCGCTAGGGGTGCTGAGCCTGCGGGTGCCGGGTCTAGGGGTGCTGAGCCTGAGCTTGTGGAACCTGGGGGTGCTGGGTCTGGGGGTGCTGAGTCTGGCGGTGCTGAGTCTGGGGGTGCTGATTCTAGGGGTGCTGAGCCTGGGGTTGCTGAGTCTGGGGGTGCGGAGCTAGAGGGTGCTGAGCCTGCTCGTGTGGAGTCTTGAGGTGCTGAGCCTGGAGGTTCCTTGGGTGCTTCGTCCCGATGGGAGCCTCTCTCTCCACAGCAGCTGCGCGAGTGGTTTGCTCGGTGCTGGAGCCGTGCTGATGGAGCTGGTGGTGCTACGGGCGCTGGAGGTCCTGGTGCTGCTGGGGCTAGATCTGCTGAAGGTGTTGGAGCTGGCGGTGTTTCTGGAGAATGCGCTGCTGGAGGCACTGGAGCTGGCGCTACTGGAGCTGCTGGGCCTTCTAGCGCTCCTGCTAGAGCTGGAGCTGCTGAAGGTGCTGGCGTTGGAGGTGCTGCTGGAGCCTGTGCTCCTGGGGGTGCTGGAGTTGGCGCTACTGGAGCTGCTGGAGGTGCTGCTAGAGCTGGTGGTGCTGTTGGAGTTGGAGCTGGCGCTTGGGGTGCTGGTGCTATCCCTGCTGGTTCTAGAGGCGCTGCGCGGACGCGGCTGTACTTTGTTCCGCTCCTTCAGCAGGTTCTTGGTCTCCCGCCTTCTACTGGTCCTGCTTCTTCCTTAGAGTGTCCACCGCCTGTCCAGTCGCAGTCAGAGTTACAACCCGCCTCCCCACTGCCTGCTCCTTCTCCTTACACTGGTCCGATCGGAGGTCTTACGCAGCGTCATGAGCTTGAGTCTCGTCCTGCGTCGCCTTTTCGTGCTGCTCGCACTAGTCGTCGTGGTTCGCGTCAACGTCCTCCTGCTGTCCCTGGCACGTACCAGAAGACTCTGCGTCCGTCCACTACTCCGCAACGTGTCCCTCTACCGTGTCCTCCTGCATCCTCTCTTCCCGCCCTTCCTGACCCGGAGTCTGACTCCCTTCGTGCTGCTAGTCCTACTGTCACGCGTCTCCTGGCCACTGTTGTCATTGACCCTTCCTTTGAGTCCACTTCTGCGTCTGCCTTAGTTGCTGAGCTTGTCGACTTTGCTGCTCACTGTTGTCTAGACTACGCCGCGAGTCTTATTGCTGAGTCTGAGTCTGTCTGTCCTCCGTCCGTCGGGGTTGCGTGTGCTCTTGGCACGGACGTCCTTGAGGATATGAAGGAGGACTTTGATTGCTTTGCAGCCGCTGTACCTCATCTCGTGTCCATGCTGATTGCACCTGAGGGAGACCCGGATGCACCAGACATCCCGACCCCGCGCTCTTACGCAGAGGCGATAGAGGGTCCCTACTCCTCTCAGTGGAAGTCAGCCATGGACGCAGAGATGGCATCCTGGAAGTACACACGCACTTACGTCGAGGAGGTTCCCCCTCCTGGGGCGAACATCGTCAGTGGCATGTGGATTTTTAGGGTGAAGCCACCGCCAGGTTCTCCGCCTGTCTTCAAGGCGCGTTACGTTGCTCGAGGCTTCAGTCAGCGACAGGGAGTTGACTTCTTTCAGACCTTCTCCCCGACCCCGAAGATAACCACTCTTCGTGTTCTGTTGCACGTCGCTGCTCAGCGGACTACGAGCTTCACCTTCTTGACTTCAGCACTGCTTTCCTACAGGGCAGCCTGCACTAAGAGATCTAGCTGCGCCACCCACCTGGCTTCACTGGGTCGTTTCCTCCTGGTACCCAGTGGAGCCTCCGGCGGCCAGTCTACGGTCTCCGCAAGGCGCCTCGCGAGTGGCACGACACACTGATGACTACGCTTGCGGCTCTTGGGTTTGCTCCTTCTACTGCTGACCCGTCACTGGTTTTGCACACCGACACTACTCTGCCGCCGTTCTACATCCTCGTGTACGTCGACAACTTGGTCTTTGCTACTGCTGACACAGCTGGACTCGCCCACGTGAAGTTTGAGCTGCAGAAGAGACACACATGCACAGACCTGGGTGAACTGCGCAGCTACCTTGGCTTGCAGATCACCCGGGACAGAGCACGGCGCACCATTACCTTGACTCAGTCACACATGGTGCAGCAGATCCTTCAGCGCTTCAACTTCACGTACTCCTCGCCTCAGGCCACTCCTCTGTCTACTCGCCACTCGCTCTCAGCTCTGCCTTCGGATGAGTCCGTAGAGCCGAGTGGCCTGTACCCAGAGCTTGTTGGCTGCCTCATGTTCCTAATGACCTGCACTCGACCTGACCTGGCATACCCTCTTAGCATCTTGACACACTATGTTGCTCCTAGGAGACACCGACCAGAGCACATGGCTGCAGCAAAGAGGGTGTTGCGCTACCTGTGCAGTACGTCGGACATGGGGCTTTTGCTTGGAGGACGGGCTCGAGTTGTCCTCACTGGTCACGCAGACGCTTCTTGGGTTGACGACTTGGCTACGCAGCGGTCGTCACAGGGTTACACCTTCAGCCTTAGTTCCGGCTCTGTTTCGTGGCGGTCTACCCGCTCGTCTTCTTTTCTCAGCTCCAGTTGTGAGGCTGAGATCTACGAAGGGGCCATGGCTGCATAGGAGTTACGCTGGCTCACCTACCTGCTGACCGACTTGGAAGAGGCGCCTAGTTCTCCTCCAGTTCTGTACGTCGATAACAAGGCCATGTTGGCCTTGTGTCAGGAGCACAGACTGGAGCACAGAACGAAGCACATTGCTCTGCGCTACTTCCTTGCTCGAGAGTTGCAGCAGCGTGGACAGCTTCGTCTTGCTTACGTGGCCACTCGGGCAAACAGTGCTGATATCTTTACCAAGGCACTTCAGCCTTGTGATCATCAGCGTTTGTGTAC